GAGTAAAAATATCCCTTTTTTTTACAATTTTTGTTATATTATTAAAAGTTTAAGTGCTAGAAAGTAAGAAGTAACATTAAAATAAAGTACATTAAATATATTACTTCCTGTAATCTATGTATTTTTTTTAACACATTTTTTTTAAACACAAACTTGTAGAACATGTTTGTACACTATACAAGGTGGTCCCGACGCACGAGCTGCTCTCTTTTGAGGACGTTTTTGGTACGATTCGTTTGTCAAACGTGCAAAAGAATCCAGTTGTAATCTCTTTCTAGCGCTTGTCACTGAAAAAAATATTGTCCTCGGCAAAGCGGACGGGACCACTTTGTATAGTTGCACCATGGTTCTTACTCTATGAAATGGTGCCTCTATAGATTTCTTACTCTATGGCGCTGCTGTTGCTCTGCCGACGGGTAAAATTATAGCTTAATACTTCAGAAAAACGCTTATAATTGTACTGAAATCTGAAACGATATCAGATAACTCCCATAGAAACTATTGAATAATTGAGCTGAAAATCATCAAAGCTTCTATGTGCTTAAACAGGAACGCATATAATTCGAAATTTAGACGTGTTAACGAATATTAAATTTTTGGAAAAGCTTCAAGGGTATATAAACTTCAGCTTGCCGATGTCCATGTTTTTTTTTCCAGTTCTAAAAAACAAATTTATAAGACTGGAAAAGTTCTGACATTATTTAATTTTTTGTTTTAGAACTAATAAAACAAGAGAACGGAAAATTTATTTTGAAACAGTTTAATAGAGTTAAAATTTTCGTCTGTAAAATCTTGTCTCCAATAGGCGCGTCTCAATACAACATCCATCAAGTCGTGGGTCCTAGTCAAAATTTTGTCCAAATGTGTGTAGTCCCATAATTTTGGTAGTCCTAAATATGAGTGCAACAGCATTCTTAAATAAATTGTTGTCTCTTAAATATAAATAGATCTTATTTACAGCTAAATATACTTCGTCAGAATTTAATATTCTGTCAAGTGGAAACTGGAAGAAATTTGTGTTATAAAAAAGGTAAGATGATCAGTTTTTTACTTACGTAGGCAATGTACACGAACCGATTATGTCTTCCATCAATGCTGGCCATCATCACGGTAAGGAAACGTCTATTTGTTTCCAAGTGAAGCGCATCGGCGCACAAATAAAATGGTTTTTATACCCTTGCAGAGGGTATTATAATTTCAGTCAGAAGTTTGCAACGCAGTGAAGGAGACGTTTCCGACCCTATAAAGTATATATATTCTTGATCAGCATCACTAGTAGAGTCGATCTAGCCATGTCCGTCTGTCCTTCCGTCTGTCCGTCTGTCTGTCCGTCTATCCGTCCGTTTATATGCAAACTAGTCTCTCAGTTTTAAAGCTATCTGCATGAAACTTTCCCAAAAGTTGTCTTTCTATTGCAGGTAGTATATAAGTCGGAACGAGCCGGATCGGACGACTATAGCATATAGCTCCCATAGGAACAATCAGAAAAATAAATGAAAAAAAATTATAACTTTGCTATTTTTTAATTTTTTGTTTAGTTCTTTGACATATAGTAATGGTAAAATATTTCTGATTTACGGTTTAAATTTTATCAAAATCGGACGACTATAGCATATAGCTCCCATAGGAACAATCCGAAAAATAAATGAAAACAAATTATAACTTTTCTGTTTTTTATTTTTTTGTTTAGTTCTTAGAGATATAGTAATGGTTAAATATTTCAGAATTACGTTTTAAATTTCATCAAAATCGGACGACTATAGCATATAGCTTCCATAGGAAAAATCGGAAAAATAAATGAAAAAAAATTATAACTTTTCTGTTTTTTAATTTTTTGTTTAGTTCTTCGACATATAGCAATGTTTAATTATTTCAGAATTATGGTTTAAATTTTATCAAAATCGGACGTCTATATCATATAGCTCCCATAGAAATAATAAAAATATATAAAATAACTATCTAATAATTGAGCTGCAAATCATCATAGTTTCAATGTTTTTCAGCATATACTCAAGTAAATCATAATTTAAATATTTTCAAAAGTATTTAATTCATGCAATAGCTGCAAGGGTATATGAACTTCGGCTTGCCGAAGTTTGCTTTCTTTCTTGTTTATACTCATGAAACCTGTTGAAAATTTCCACACAGCCCTTTTATCTTCTCTGCGTTATATTTTGCGCGCGCTTGCATCACGGCCGATTGGTTAAACATTCTAAAGCTTCACTAGATCCATCTTCTGAAAACACACAATAAGCACTTTGTTAGCAATCAACAGATTTCTCGACAAATTTGGATTTCCCCGTTTCACTCTTACCAGACAATTTTTTAGATTTGTAATTTCTTCCGACCGCTTAATATAAATGAAATCTAAACAAATCAGATAGTAAGAACAAGAGAGAGAGAGAGAACTTTTTAAAGTCATTTTAGCTCTTGAACTTATCTGGTCACACTGGGTGTCGAGGTCTTCCCTTTTGCTTCAAAATGTCAAGCAGTAAACATCTACCTTTGGAAATGCTCATAGGGCATTTCAATAATCAAAATAATATATTAAAAGCCGCTGTTTACCATAATATAGATAATCAAAAAAATAATATAATAAATAATAATAATTATAGGGATAATACAAATAATAGTGAAATTAATAATGATAATATTGAAAATAAAAATAAAAAAAATTATAATGAACAAAAAAAAAAAAAAAATTAATGAATATATTAATAATAATGATAAAATAATAAGTATAGGAAATAACGAAGAAATTAATAATGTCAAAATCGAAAATAATATTGAACTGAATAATATAGAAAATGAAAATGAAGAAGAACTTAATAAAATAAATAATAATAAAAATAAAACACTAAATAATGAAATAGATAAAAAATAAAAAGAAAACGGGGTCGGTCATCAGTTGCCAAAAAAAAAAATACGCCGAAAAAGCTCGGCAATACGAGCTAATAGCCGACCTTCGTAAGGCAGACTCGCTGGTCTTAGCTCCGAGTCGAAAAGACCAGTGTCCGGAGTGCCGGAAAATTGTGAGGGGGTCACAATATGAAGCCCATGTGACAGCGTGTAACCGTGAGGACTTTCGGTTTTGCTACCCATGTGGTCTCATGGTCATGACCCTAAATTCATTTTCCGGCCACCAGCGAGTCTGCCGAAACAAGAAGCCGCTCGAAGCATTTATAACCCATAACACCGTCGTCGACGGTATCTGAAGCCGACTCCTCACCGTTGCAAGTCTCTTGAACGGAGCAACTTTTCCTTTCGCCCTTCCGGGACTAGTCCGTCTGTCCGTCCGTTTCTACGCAAACTAGTCTCTCAGTTTTAAAGCTTTCTGCATGAAACTCTTCGAAAAGTTGTCTTTCTATTGCAGGTAGTATATAAGTCGGAACGAGCCGGAAAAGATAGTTAGTTATTTAATTTTGTTGAAATACATATTGCAACATATTTTACAAATTAAAAATATTTTCTAAAAAATATATATACGTATTTCAATTGTTTTTTTTTTTGTTTGTAAATATCTTTGAGCCTTACAATAAGAATACCTGGTAAACTACACCAGATTTTTGAAATATTTTCAGCACTTAAGAAATATCATTAAATAATAATTAATTTAAAATAATTGTAGTCTACAATTTAGTGAAGGCGAATATCTTGGTGTCAGGCTTAATTTTATTTTCAGTGTATATCCTTCTACACTCATAGAAATTTCTTCTTAAAATCTAGTAAAATCGCCATTGAATTTTCGCCAAAGGCGAGTCGACTTCATTTGAAGAAAATTTTTTTCTTTCTTCTTCTTCAAACAAGAAATGCAGCTCTTAAACCAAGAAACAAAATTTCTCAAGTCTAGAAATATTATTTCTTAAATCAAGAAAAAATATTTCTTAAATTTAGAAAAAATATTTCTTGAAACAAGAAAAAATATTTCTTAAAGCAAAAAATATATTTCTTAAAAATAAGAGTTTTTCAGAGTTCTGCCATAAGACGCGTCGCGACACGAACAGTAGAGAACAGGGGAGAAGATGACAAGGATAAACATGATTTTTAAAATTCAAGTTAGAACATTGTTATTATTTACAAAACTTGAAAAAAACTCAAATTTTCATTTGGTCGACGGCGAGAATCGAACCCGCGCGGGAGTTGGACATTGTAACACTAACACAGTTCGCACTTTAATAATGAACGTCAAAAGTAAAGACTGTTTCGTCAGCTTGGATGAGTCATGTTAAAACAAATCAAAATAATATATTTTCAGAGATGGTTTAGAATCTGATACTATATATTCAGAAATTGTTTTTTTTACGTATTAATAATAAAAAGTTGTTATCATTTTAGATAATTTCCTTAAGTTTTTTGTCTGCCTTAACTTAGCTAAGCACATTAGGACAAGTGAGTGATTTCCCTTTTTCATCAAATACAAAAAAAAAGAATCTCGAGAAGGGGGATTCGAACTCGTGCTGCTCAAGATTTACTGCTCAGATTTCTGGTCAGGCAACTTAGCCGCTAGGCTACCATTAATCGGCTCAGCTAACTGCTGCTTTTCTATATTTGAGGGATACTTCTTTCTTGATCTCAATGGCGATTTTTCCTTTAAAGACCTAATGAATGACGTAGCTGAGCCGAACGCCCTTTGAGCTTTCGGCAAAGTCATCCGACTGACATCGTTGACTTCGTTTTTTACCGTTCTTTTTCTTTCGAATTGCTTTTGTAAGTCAAAGGCTGGTTTTCTAATTTTGAAGGATATTGCTCTATGGAACTCAAAAGGTAAATTAACCTTTAATTTGGAAATGTTTGTCATTGATACAAAGGCTAGTCGATTTAAGGGCGAGATTTCTAAATTTTTGGGAATTTTTTACTATGAGTGCAGTACAGCTGGGAGCTCTACTATTATCATTTTATGATCTCGTCGTTTCTTAATAAGCAGGGGCTATTTTGATTTAATTTACTCAAGAATTGATAGACTTCAAAGCATCTTTACCCAAGTAGGCGACTCGTAAATGTCAGTCCTTCTGCTCAAAACAGTTGAAAATTATTAAGTAGATATCACCATACATGTTTTTTTTTAAAGAGAAACTAAATTGTTACCACCAATGAACCATCACTTCGGGCCGGATGGCCCCCGCTGGCAACGGCATCGTTTTCCCAGTTTGGGAGACGAAATGGGTGTCAAGGCGGATGGACTGGTGTCCAGCCTTGGCAGCTCGGGAATCGTGGAAATGGGCTCCCGCTTCAAGAAGGGTTGTCTGAGCACAAAGGATGCAGAAAGGCGGGCGGCCCAAGCTGCATTGGACGCAAACGTACCGCCGGCCAGGCTTTGCTTACGATCCACATCACGAGGCCTACGTCGGACCCTCGACATTTTTATGCCTCGCATTCATTCCGACGAGAATTTGGTCCTTTCCGAGGGCGAGCAGCATTCAGAGATGTGTTCGGTGCGCTTGTCCGGGACCCAATCGTCCTCGCAGTTATCCAGGGTTCTTCAGCATTCTGCTACACCTGGCCAATCGGGGGACGTACCCTACAGCACTCAGTCGCAATCGACCCTCGACTAGGAACTTGGAGTTGACAGCGATTGAAAAACAGAAGAAACCACTGCTTTCAACAGCTGCTTCCAATTACACTAGTTCGGGCCCCCTGAAATGTTTTTTATAACTAAATTATTTTTCTAATTCTGAACTTTGGAACATATCACAGCTTTTAACGAGAAGGCGGAACAAGCTACATTAAAGATCTTTTTTGGCCACCAATAACGAAATTCTTAATTCTTAGAAGAGGCTTAGAAAAAAATAAAACTTTTGTATTTTTAGTTCTTCTTACAATGTTATATAAGATAATACTAAGATTGTTTAGGCGCTTACTCAGGTCGGACTTCCGTAATTTAAGTCCTCAAAATATTAATGATATTGAGACATAATTTGTTTAATAATTTTATTTATATTGGCTTCAAGTTATTGATGTTCGACTCCATGTTCTCATTCAATGGCACAGTTTAAATTTGTCAGAATATTTTGTTTGCAAGAAGGTAGTCAGCAAGTTCGCTTGGGCAGTTCAAGTTGGAAAGTTTGGCGGAAAGCCATTACATTGTTATACAATTTAGACCAATTTTCTTTTACCTATCCGATTGAATTGTAAAAGTGACGATGCGCACCAAGAGCGTTTGCATGTATGCACTCCACAGACTTTTAGTAAAAACTATTTTTTTCAAAATAGAAATACATATGCGCATATTGAATTGTAAAATGCGTATTTCATGTTTAAAGTAAATATAAAAATATTGAAATTAAATACAAAACATTAAGAAAAACATAATTTAATATTAAAATATTTAAATCAATGTGGTAAATATTAAGTTAAAATTTGTTTTAAATTTTATCATATTAAAATGGAAAATTTTCAGACTAAAAAAAAATATAGTCAAATTAAGAATGTGTCATATTTAATTTTAGTACTAAAACTGAAAATTGTTTTAAATTTTTAATGATTTTTTCATTGAACAAAACATTATTACAGTTGATATTGCCAATTAAATTTCAATAGTTCAATCTTTGGGAAATCTTTTCAATAAATATGGTATTTAATATTTTTAAATTTATGTTTAAAGTATTATATTGAAGGTGCTCTATATTTAAATTTAATATTAATCAGTTATACATCACAACTTAAATTTAAATTTTAATTTTGTTACTTTAAATATCATTCCTATTTAATTTAAAGTCGTAGTCGAGGCCATTTAAGGCTCGCATTTTATATTTAAAAATAAATACAAAAATTATCTTTTAATTTATTGTTTTGTTCCATTAATTTAGACGAAACTCTTAAATCTCAGACGTACTTATAATCATGTTTATTACGTTCGTACCTAAATAAAAATAATGTTGAATAAAACACAAGTCATAATTATGTATGTATGTATATGTGTATAACAAATTCTAAAAGCGCATTTTTGGCGGCCTTTTTTCTCCTTTATTCGCTATTTCTTTGAAACGGATTCACACACATGAAAGTTTTATCGCTGATGCCAAAGCCGCGCGCGTCTCTCATCAGAAACACAAATCAAAGATAGTAAAGTGCCAAAATAATTAATTTGGATCTCGATTCTTACACGTTATTGGGTGAATAGTTCTGCAATAAATAAACGGACTCTGCACATACATGCATATATTTGTATGTAAGTGTGTGAGAATACTTAAAAACAAATATCTTCTAGAGTTATTCACACATTTAACTGTGAATTTTACCGCGATCTTTTTAAACATGATTAACCCTCAAGAATAAGATCACGCCAAGATTAATTTTTAGCTTCGGAAGCATAACTATTTGGTAAGTACCGATCTAAAAATAAAAATATAAATGTGGTAATGTTATGTATGTACATACATACATACGCACGCTGTCTATACATGTTTGTATGCATGCATGTGCAGCACATGCATGCATATGTAGCTGTATTGAGAATAGAATAAAAAACAAATACACTGATAAAAGAAAAGAACATTAATAATAAATATGTGAACATTAAATTGATGTGTTGAGTATAAAAGTATTTAAATTAAATATTAAATCATAATATTAAATACAATGGATTTCTAATTGCCTGACTGATTTAATATTTCATTTTTTGATCAGCTTACTCTGCAGTACCGTTCATTACGTTTTCTTTGATTCAATGATAATTCATTTACATTCATATTTTTCTGCATGCCTATGTAAGTTTTAAGATCTTAACTTGAATTAGGTTATCACGCTCCTCCTTGCCGGAAGAAATACAAATTAGCACCTACACTAAACCAGGCCGAGAATAAAATTTGATTACAGCAGCAAAGATCATAAAAGTATTTGGTAGGTGCCGTTTTTTTTAATTTATGAACATTTCACAGAAAAGTTTCAAAAGTTTAAATTTTTTTATGGATAAAAGAATAACAACTGCGAATATGGGACTGTGAAGCATTTCATTTGATTTTCTATCCGTTTTCACTATTTTTAATTTAATTAAAAAAAAAAGCAGTTTTCTTACATATATCCTACATATAGAGGCTGAAAACAGTATTGAAGTTTTGGATGACGAAGCCCAGTTGGAAGTTTTACTAAAAAGCTTCAATTTAGAACAAATTTTTCAAGATCTAAAATGTAAGTTTTATTTAATTCGTTTGTGCTAAATAAATATTTTTTACTATGTCGTTAAAATATATTAATTAATTAATTAAGTCGGATTACGAGCAGAGTTTAGAGAAAAATTTGTTTGTTGGCGTAAGCAAGAATTAAGTTTTTTTTATAATTCTCTTCTATAAAAAATAATATAGTGCTTATTATCAATAAACAGTTATATATCGACGATCAAACAATATCTGTGGATTCGAAAGTAAAACAGTAAAAAAAAAAAATACACTAACACCAGAACCAAACGAATTAAGCTCCACCGAGTGTTGGAGGTTCCTGATGAAGATCAACCAGAAAACAGCAATCAGTGTGATATTGATGAAGAAATTTACCAAGACAAAACTAAAATGATGAGAGATTTCTCACAGATAAATGGAAAAAAACTCACCTTCTTTGCCAAAAGGATGTAAAATCTCTTGACGGCGTAGAGTTTATGAAGGCCAAAATATAAAGACTCTCGAGCACCAGAATTAGTAAGAATTGTTTTCATTTTTATGTAAATGGCTGATATTTTAACATATCTAATACTTCAAACTTTAAAGTAATTGCAAAATACTGATTAAGAACTGATTTGATTTTTTAGAATATTACAAAATAATAATAATGCTTAAAATTATAATAGCAACAAAATAGCATAAAACCATCCCTAGTGATGCCGTATTACTTAGAAAAACCCAAGCTTAGAAAGCAAATCTATTTTCAGATACAAATCGATTTTAATTTAATGTTCCCTGGAAAGGAAGGCGCATTAGCTTCAAAATGGAAAGCGTTTAAGGAGAAAGTACAACTGTACTATGCATCTAATATCCATAACGTGAACTGCAAGGAGCTGTTTATGAATTTCTGGATTTCAGAGACTATTGGTAAATTACATTATGAAATATTTTGTTTTATTTTTTAATTAAACATTTTTTTGTCTTTCTTTTATTTTTACATAAATGACAGATTCATCAGACTTTATTTTGACTATCCTGCTACCCTCAATTTTACCATCCAATACATGGTATTCATCAAAATCTTCAAAAACCAGGACAAAATACACTTTGCTTAACTCCTAGGAAAGTTTAGTCCTTCGAGTGGACTCCGTAGCTGACTGTCGCCAAAGGATTACTGAAATTGTCGGAAAAAACTATTCGAATATAGAAACAGTTCAACCGTTTATGTTTGTAGAAGAAAAAAAAATGTATATAAGAGATAAAAATGCATGCGATAGTGACTTAAAAGCAAATTATTTTCTACAAAGTGGAGTCAAAACCGATTGTATATTTAATGAATTAAAAACCATTCACGTTATTGATAACTTCCTAGAAGGCCTAGAAGGCATCTGCGTGTATGGTTTGTCAAACACTGACTGCCTTAATTTTTTTTTTTAATTTAATTTTTATTTACAATTTGTCTAATGACAATAAGTAAATTGTATGACTAATATTTTCATAACAGGAATAGCAGATTTTCAGTGAAACCTACTATTAATTTAAAATCTCATTTACTTAAATTTACCTACCAGGGAGATCAAGAATGTGGAATCTTTTGAGTCTTCTGATTGTTAAGCTATTGTCTACTAGACCTAGGGCTAAATTATTTACATGATTGTGAAGTCTGTATGTATATTTCTTACTATGTTTCTTTATCTCTTCTTTTACAGTTGGAATATTTAGATATTTATGGATATTTGCGTTAACAATTTGTCACAAGATTTTTGATTGGTAGCGCTGAAGTATTTCAATATTTGAATTGCTAGCTTTTCCCCAGAGTTGGATAGCGTAGGTGCAAACAGGCTTCAAAATGGCTTTGTAGAGAAGAATTTTGTTTTCCAAAGTGCATGCCAAGATACTTCACACAGGTATCTTGTGGAATTTCTGAGCCGTTAAGTGTGACATTTGGGCAGTTTCCTGGTCTTAGTGCAAAAGTTATTTGGACAGACTTCAGGAAGTTGATTTTAATTTTCCAGCGAAGGAACCAGGCTTCAATCAGACTGAGCTCACCTTGCAAGAGATGAGATGCTTCGTCTCTAGATGAGCTTGTTGCCAGAATGGCTGTATCGTCAGCATATGTTGCAATGGTGCAGTTGTTTGTTACTGGCATATCTGCCGTGTATAGTGTGTAAAGGACTGGTCCCAATACACTCCCCTGAGGAACGCCTGCGTTTATGCGAAGTAGTGTTGACGTATCATTTCTGTGCTGCACGTAGAAGCATCTCTTAGACAAGTAGGATCACATTAATAAATAGAATGGAGCAGGCAGCCATTTCTTTATCGGGTAAAGTAATCCATTGTGCCAAACACGATCAAACGCTTGCTGAATGCCAAGAAATGTTGCAGTACAATAATTTTTGTGCTCAAGTGCAGATACAATTTCATTGATAACGCTATGACATTGCTCAGTGGTCCCGTGGTCTTTTCTGAATCCGAATTGATATTCAGGAATGATGGCAAGTTCGTCCAAAATAGGTAACATCCTCTTCAGTAGTATTTTTTATACCCTTGCAGAGAGTATTATAATTTCAGTCAAAAGTTTGCAAAGCAGTGAAGGAGACATCTCCGACCCTATAAAGTATATATATTCTTGATCAGCATCACTAGGAGAGTCGATCTAGCCATGTCCGTCTGTCAGTCTGTCCGTCTGTCCGTCCGTTTCTACGCAAACTAGTATCTCAGTTTT